AAATGCTCAGATACTAAAAGGTTATAGTTCTCAAACAGTTGTTTAAATGTTCTCAATTATTTCTATAAATAATAATTAATTATTATTTCTATAAGTAATTGGCAAAAATATATTAGCCTACACATCATGCATGTTGCAAATTGGCTTGTCTCACTCTGTGGTTTGTTTGTTAGCTACTCATTAATTAGCTAGCTACAATGCCAACAATGCTAACAGACTATCTTGAGTCACCAGTCAGCAAGCAATTTGGCTAAGTCGATCACCACCTATTTCAATTATAGCTGTAACATCCCAGGTACCAAAATAAATCTGGCCCATACTTGGGCCACATGTTTGTTTCCTTCTGGCCCAGTATACACCTCAGTTCCATGGCCTGAAACTGGCTCATATACAGCAGATGCTACTTTCACTTTTGGACCAATTCTGGCACACACACACAATATTTTCCAACTGTCAGTCAATACCAGAGGATAACAGCCGGAATCTGCCCAGATGTGGAAGTATATGGGCCAGACTTGAGCTGAGGACCCAGGCATACAGTATGTTGGTCCAGTTTCATTTTGCTACATACATATTTTGTATTCTAAATACGTAACCCGTATATAAGTAATACGTATATACTCTGCCATATATAGAGGCTACAGTCCTCGCTGCAGTTTGCCCCTGGTTCGACTCCCGCATCAGACAGCCCTTTCCTGCGTGTCATTCCCCCTCTCTCTGCCTCCCCATTTCCTGTCTCTCTAATGTCCTGTCCATTAAAGGCACAACCCCCCCCCCGCAAAAAAAAAAAAAAATCCATAAATCTCTAAAAACAAACAAACAAACACACCCAAAAGGACCAAACATTAGGTTGTCAGACACAGCATGAGGTCTGAGTCCAGGTCTGAGCTGACCAGCCTGGCAGTGAAGTGTTTATCAAGCTCAAAGCAGATCACATGGTCCTAACAGTAGTAAATTCTACCTGGAAGTACTGTAGGTGTGTGTGGGAGTCAGCTAGCTTTAAACAACATCTGAAATTGTTTTGTTTTCTTTAGCATAAAGAAAAAAAATCACACATAAAAGTTATGTACAGTATACACAAACACACTCACGACCAAATGTACATAACACCCAAGCACACGCAAACCCAACTTTTTCACTACCAAACAAATGACAGATAATATGTACACAGGGTTGGCTTAAAAAAAAAAGGATGATGTGTAATTACACTACAGAGGGAAGCCCTAAAAAATCACCTCCTAACAACAGAACACATGACACAAACAAATGAAAATAATAAAATGATGACTGTAAGTTTTAATTGTATGTATTAGTTATGTGTTAAGTGTTATGTAGCTTACTCTATAGGGATGTGTGTTATGTTAGATTTGAAACACATAGCTTTATAAAGTATATACATATGTATGAATGGCATAAAAAACACAAAAATGTCAGAACTTTTAAACTTTTATTACTTTGATTCATTTATCCTTCAGTATAAGTGTGCTGCTGTGTACAGCTGAATAAAGTTCTGGTAGTAGATGTGTGCCCTTAAGTCAAACAGGATTTTAGTGCTGATATTCATATATTATACACATATTTCTTCTCTGTTGCAGACAAATCCAATGCATGGACCCAAACCAACAATGTGTTTGTCATTCTTTAAATATTTTCCCTCCTGTGTCTGTGGCTCTCAACCTCCAAGCCCATTGGTCCCTGCTGAGGACAAAAATCTTTAAAAGCATCTCAAAAATATACAGTATCAGTTCACTGAAAACTCACCAGTAAATGTATTTCTTGTTTCTTCATATATTATTCCTTATGAATTTTACAATGTGCTGTGATATTTTCACTCAGACTGATTCACCACAGTTAGGTATATATTTATGATTTGTATTGCTCAGCTCAGTGCCCACAGGACTTTGACTATCAGAGGTCTCACCCGGGGCAATGGACACAAGTCTCATTGGCCCAGCTGGTAATTCATCCTCCTAACTAAAGCTGGTGGTATTTACTTAATTAGTCTTAATCAGTGAAGGTAAACTACATGCATCGTCCTGTTTGATTGGACAATAGGTTAAGGTGCGAGTTGGGTGAAGTTGAGGGAAATTATTTTAAGCAAAAGCTTGTAACATTTTATTTTTTCCCTCGATTTGAAACACACTCTCTCCATGTTCCAGCAGCTCCAACAGCTGCTGAGAACTTATAACACAAACCATTATTTAAACTGAAGCTAAAGACAATTTAAGATATCTGTTTTTTGTATTTTGTAATTTTCAAAATTCATCCATCCAATAATTCAGTAATTCTAAGGAGTAAGGAAGAAGATCATCTCATAACAAAAAATGAGAATTTTCTACAGTATTATGACAGGAATTTTAAATGTATGTGAAACACAGAATGGTGTCTTAGTGTTAGTCCAACATCAGCCTCCAGAATATGACACATAGCAACTATGGTTTGGTTGAGGTAAGGTGTGATTATGGATGATTTAAAAAAAAAAGAGCATTAGACATAGGTCTGTGACAGGAACTCTGGTCTCCTGCATGAAAATCAGATGTGCTACATACCCATCCACCACCCTTACCTCTACACCTTTACCTTTCCCCTCTGTGCTTGTAGGTCACACATCCTATGGTTCTGGAAGGGAATGTTGTCACTGGACTGGACGTGAGGTGTCAAGAACTGAATACCACAATGAAAAGATTGAAATGCACGACTCAGAACACAGGCGAGGGTTTCCAAAAATCACTCACTTAGCAAAGGGTCTGTACACAGGAGACCAAAACACACGAGGCAGACAGAGAAGGCTGAGGCGAGGTAAAACTGAGCAAAAGTCATACACTAAAGGCTAAAACACAAGGAAATCAGCCTGTAACTCGTGACACAAAGAAACAAAGACAAACTAGCACAAGAGGATAGGAGAACACAGACGAAATACACTGGAGAGGGGAGACAATGAGACACAGGTGCAGCACATTAGGGCGAGTCAGACAATCACAGTGGCGGGAAACACACGAAGGAAGGAAGTGAACTGAAATGAGAGGAAGAGTCAGTGAAGTCAAAATAAAACAGGAAGTGTATAAAAACACAAGAAGCAGAGCTACACCTGACAGGTAATTCACAGAAACAGTTGTGTCAGCAATGAGACAAGTTAGCCAGACAGAGAAGTCAAAACCCCGGCTCCTCTCTTATGTCCTCACACCTGCGTGAAGGGGATGTGAATGTTGGATCGTCTGTACCAATCTGACTTCACACAGGTGCAGGGTGACAATCATCTGACAGTCATTTCCAAAGAAATATATACTAATACTTGCTAGTAGCTTTACAGCTTTCACTCTTCTGTTACCAGGGTTTCCACCAGACTTTGGAAGCTGGCTGCAGATTTGCTACCATTCAATTCACAAGCGCATTAGTGAGGTTTAATATTGATGTTGGCTGATAAGGCCTAGCTCCAAGTCGGTTAGTTCATCCCAACAGTGTTAAACAAGATAACCATTTCATTATAGACCTGGCTTTGTGCATGGGGGCATTGCCATTGATGTTAAAAATCAACATATTCTGCACCATGAAAATTTCCCGTAATTGGAGCCATTTTGCCATCAAACCATTCAGAGGCCCTGGAAGTCCTGAGAGATTACTACAATTACTATGACTCCTCATTTATGCTTACTTGGGGGACAAATCTCAATAAAACAAATATCAAAATGTTGAGATTTAAAGTTCATTCCTGATTTAACATTATTTCATCAACTGCCTTTTCTGTGGTCAAGAGTGAACTTTCAGCCTCAACGTTCAAGCCAACATGGTTGGTAAGACCTCAAAGTGCTCACAAAATGGAAATTTGAACAATTACAGTTATAACTGGGCAAACACCATCTGCTGATGAAGACTGTGATGCAGTTGGTACCAACAATATTGGGGGGCCTTTGATCCAGGGGTTGACTTAAAGGTAGTTCAATTCCAGTGAGAGACTTTGTTCTGAGTCAACGAATAAATGAATACACAAGAAGATGCTGGATTTTTAATTCTTTTTTTCTCAGTCTCTCAGTAATGTTCACTGTGATCCTGAAACAACGTACACAGCTTTTCATGTTAGTTGTGAGGACACTCATTCACATAATCCATTCCCTAGCACTTTACTGTAACCTTAACCATATTCTGAGCAGAACTCTGAAGCCAAGTCTTCAAACTGCCGGCAAATATGTCCTCACAATAAATGTCCTCACAACGATGGTTTCCACCATAGAACCACAGAAAGATGTGTGTACACACAGAGACACATAAACTTGTACTTCCATCTTTGTGAGGACACTTGTTGACATAGTGCACTCCCTTACCTTTACCCTATCCCCTAACTATCACAAGTAAAGTAACCTTAACCCTAACACCAAGTCTTAACTATCAAACAGCCCTTTGAAGGTGTGTCAGAACTGTCCTCACTTTCCCAAAATGTCCTCACTCTGTTGGGAAAGTACTTTTTTTGCTCCACACACACACATACACACACATGCTGTGATAGAAAACATTTCCTGGAGACTTACCCTAACCATAACCACTATTGGCCTAACCCTAAGCTTTACTTAAACCTTAACCTTAACCACTGACCCATAAATGAGCCTTTTCCCAAAAATTAGCACAGCTTTTGTCCCCAGCTGCACAAGTTGGAGCCAAAATTAACTGGTTTCTTATCTGAAATCTGTCTCCAACGATGGCCTATGACAGGGGCACACACACACACACACACACACACACACACACACACACACACACACACTACTTAAAAGCCAGTTCTCTGCACTTTTTTTCCTCCACTCGAAACCACGTGTAGGGTTTCAACCCCCGACAGTGAAGGACCGCCTCACCGACCAATGAGGAGACAGGGATATCTCGGTCAGGGTTTAATGCAGCCAACCTGACACCGGCAGAGGCGGGTCCGGGCTGCATAGGCGTGTCCTGCGCTACAAAGTCACTCCAGCTTTAATTACTGCAACTTCTCCAACTTTAGGAAAAATTGCGCAGCTCGCTCTGTGCTAAACGCTCCTGTCCCCACACAAAAAGCCACATACCTCTTCATTTATTCTAGCCTGCTTTGCTGTATCATGCATAACAGCCATGTCACCCATCTGCTCGTCTCTCTTCTTTGCATCGGGTTGACTGGTAAGTACTGACTTAAAACGCTTTAGGCATGGGCTCTATGTTGTGTCTGTTTCTCTTAGATATAGGCCAGGTCAACTATAGCGACCAGTTTCCTCAGTTCAACAGCTGTATTTGTTAATGAAGATCAGCTCTAGGAAGTAGACGGTGTTTCCTCCTGTATGCTTGTTAGATTCCCCCCGACAGCGACTATAAAGAGTAATCAGTGCAGTAATGACTTGCACACTGTTTCTAATAGTCACGGGCTGCAGATTTTTGCAAACCACTAGTTGAGCTGTGAAGTTGAACGTGGCTGCAAGAGTCACGGAGCATTAGCGGCAGACAGTTCAGTTCAGCCGGTTCACCGAGGCAGGACAGGAGGCTATTTTTGCCCATCGTGGCCGCTGTTTGATGGAAACTGTCCCTCCCCACAGCCCAGTCTGAGCTGGAGACAGATGAAGTGGTTCCCAGGCTGCTGTCCGGGCAGGAGGCGCACCTGTCCACGGACCACACTTTCCGCACTCTCCGGCGCCGCGGTCAGCGCTCCCTGGACGTCCCAGGGGGAGGACACTCTGACCTGGATAACATAATCCTGACACTGCCTGCTTTTGGCCGGGACCTGTATTTAAATCTGACGTGGGATAGTACGTTTCTCTCCGGGGACTTCGAGGTGGAGGAGAGGCGCAGGGACCAGAGCGCGGCGGTCAGACGCTTGTCCATGGACCAGCTCTGCTTTTACTCTGGCTCCATCATCAACCACACGGACTCTCTGGCATCAATGAGCACCTGTGGCGGTCTGGTAAATCCATCTTCATTTCTTGGACTGTTGATAGGTTTCATGTCATTGTATTCAAGCAGCTGAGCTCAAGACCATATTCCATTTCATGCACTGAAAAGGCAGGTTGGATTACAGCAGCCTGGTCTGCAGACACTCTCCATGCAGCCACCAGCTCAAGTACCTGTGAGCATGATTTTTAGCCCCTGTCTCATCAGTCAGTGCAGTTAATCTTTTAAATCCCACTGACCTGCCAGTGGGTCAGTCAGTTCACAATCACACTGTGCTGCAAAACACTGTTCAAACCCACACCACTTCATTTTAAATGCTAACAGTGATGCACAGGACATATAGAGTATTTCTATTTGATGGATTGTAGCAGCATTTCATTTTAACAATGTTAAAGTTGCTTTGAGAGGAAACAGAAGGGGAAAACGGTGTGTTAGGAGTTTGACAGAACATTTTAAACTCAAGTTCTCAGCATTTCACAGTCTAATCGGTGGAAAGACTGTGACACGTGGTTGTAAGCTCTGGAAAAAGCTTGTAAATGGACTGAGTTAAGATTTTCTTTGCTATTTCCACCATTAAGAATAAACTATTATGCTCAATGTGTGTTAAAGGGTTTTGTTCAGATCTTTGAAGATCATAAAATAGTTTAAGAAAATATGAATTTCTCCAATTGCGAGAGGTTCCACATTAGCTGAGGCATTTGATAATGCTCTTATGTAAAGTGAGTGTGGAGGTAGGGGTCCAGGCTCAGTCCTGGACTCCTCTGCAGAAACAGGCTTGAAGCCAGCTCTTAAAGTAGACTCTGCTCCTTTATTTCCTCTATATATCCTCAGTGACAGTTTAAGCATTCAGCTAACCTACAATGAATGACAAGATTATTGTCCTGCAGTGTACAGACAGTGTGAGTCACATGGTGGGTTTATATGGAAAAAAAACACTGGCAGCTGAGGCAGTTGAACCTGCAACCTCTTACAGTCCAGACCAGTACCTGTCAGGGTGGAGGACTGAGGGGCTTTCAGTGTGTACTCAGTAAAATAAGCTGTGTCCCATTTTTAAGCTATATGCTAACTCTAGGTACATGAACCACATCTTATGTACTTACAGTATGTTTACAGTGCACTATTGTGTAGTAATGTGCTGTTTGCACCTATTGGGGAAATGACGCAAGACACAACGTCACCCAGCCTGCAGCTCCGGAGAACTGAGGCCAGTTTGAAAAATGTGAAAGCTCAATGACAAAGCCGCAGCTTGTTTTATAGGATTCTGTTTTCTTTTGAGAGATCCCATGAGTCATCACACCACTGTCAACAGTTTGTTGACTTTTTTTTCCAATCTGTGGGTAACATCACCATTTCTCTTGTGCATTGCATTGTGGGACAACATGTTGGCATTTCATACAGGATAATTCCAGTTTATTAAAATTTGCGTCTTATTTTTGTAGCATCGTTTACAGTTCTTATCAATAATAATACCACTATATCCACCAGTAGAGCCTGAATGACACACCACAGCTGATATTGTTGTGTGAGTGTATATGTTGGCTGTAACAAAACAAGAAACGCCAGGAGGCAAAATATCAAATATATGTTTGAGATAAATTAGAAAAAGTGTCTCCATTACATAGTGTGTCCACCAGAGAGCACTGACAAGTTTATTTTTACAGTGTAAAATGTCCTGCTCATTACATTTCTGGGTCACTATAAATCAAACTTCAGAGGTTTTCATAAAAGGTATTTGTTTTGTGTTCAATATCAAATATCAGTGTCAGCATCAACAATCCAGTATTGTGTTGGGCTACACTCATAAATCTGACACTGAAAAGAAGTCAGATGATCAGGCAGGTTGGAAACAAACCAACAGGTTAAAGAAAGTTATTTAAAAAAGAACACAAAGGTAAGTGATAAAATTATCAGTCAAACTGTTGGTTGTAGACACGCATCACATTTTAAAGTCTGGCTTTTCACACAGCCTGTTGACAACAGTGTTATAACTGACGGGATGATGGTCAAAAGCCAACTATGACCACAGTTGTAATAAACAAGCATTACAATATGAAAATATTTAATAATGAATGCCATCATTTTTCCAGTGACCAATATATTACTGACTCCAGCCATGGATGGTCTGAACTGGGACACATGGATAATTTAATTTGACTAATTCAATTTGATTAAATAAACCCAATTAGAAATTTAACTTAGAATTTGTCAACATTATGTGTTTGTGTACACTGTAGACAGTTGAAGTCTGTCTTGGGATTCAGTCTGAAACAACAAGGCTCTGTGCCGGCCCCTAGAAATGTTATCAGCCACACACTGCAGTGTGTGTTTGTGTGTGTGTGTGTGTGTGTGTATGTGTGTGTGTGTTTGTGTGTATGTGTGTCAGATGTTGGTTTGCCACAGTTTCCGAGCTCAGTGCTTGTTGGAGCAGTCAGAAAAAGCTGGTAGCCACTCTGCCACGTGCACATGCTTACTGTGTGTTTGATCTCAGGTCTGACTAGGAGTGTGATCAGGCTGTCTATGTTTGTCCAGACTACACACACACACACACACACACACTCACACACATAGGTGTGTCAGGGAAGTGCACAGTGAGTAGCCCAGATGCCTTTAAACTCAGAGTAAAGTTGTTATTGGCTGCCAGCCACTGCCGACTTTTGACCTTTTATTGCCATTTTGTTGATTTTCATTCCTCTTCTGCAGATAGCTGCTGGATGTTATTATGTTGAAAAGAAAACATTTTTAAATGTGATGTTCATCCATTGGAGCTAACTAGGTCAGCCTCAGTGACTCCTTAAGTGGGAAAAGACGGTCTCTCCCATACACAAACACACCTCACCACAAATGTATTATGCTTGCCTGTGTGAAACTTATCTCCATATGGTCCAGGTTATATGTAACTCTATCCAGTCACAGCCGCTGTCCTTACCCCTGCACGTCAGTCAGCCAGACAGGCTCAACACACTCCAGGCTGTCAGTTTTTCAAAAAAATCAAGTTGGAAGGAATTTGAAGTGGCACGTACTTCATTCAAACTAATTCAACACACAATCCATATTCCGTACCCCCCCCCCCCCCCCACCCCCCCCCCCCCCCCCCGCTTATAAACCTTGATATCTTACTGGTGAAGGCCTTTATTAAAAGCCTCTGGCAAGAGTCCTGAGGATAAGTCTGTTGGCACTCAGATGAGATTGTACAGTTGGTGTTGCTCCTCTTGTTTCTGGTGCTGCATTGCTTCTCTTAGGTGGCAAACTAACAGGCAAGTCCTCAGATTTGTTGTTGTTGTAGAGCAGTGGTTGGCAACTGGCGGCTTGTGTGCCAAAACTGACCTGCCAGCAATAATATCTGGCTCACCAGATTATTTTTATAATCTGATTTTCTTTTTTTAAATCTTACAATATTGGACTGACAGTCCACATTTAACTATAATGTCCGAATAGAGAATCTCCCCCCCACCTGAAGATGCTCATTATACTTTTATCCATATTGAGAGTGAATGACAGACACAACAGTCACATCAGGCTGCTCATCAGGCTGCTCATCAGGCTGCTCATCAGGCTGCTCATCAGGCTGCTCTGTAGTCAGTGCACAGAGCCTGGTACTAGAATAGATCACCCTCATGGCAGCATCAGTTACCTACAGAATCCCTTCCTCTCAAGCCATTTTGCAAAAAAAAAAAAAAAAAAAAAAAATAGCATGCAATGCTTTATTTCAAAACTTTTGTGAGCTTTAATTCCGAAAAGTTCTTATAGGTAGTTCCTAAGGTTCTGTTACTTGCTAGACAGACCTCAGAAATAATGGACATACGATGTGTAATTGAATAAAAATAACACCAGTTCAGTCAAACAGTCAAACGTATGATGTGTCTGTTTGCCACAGCGCCACACAGATCAGGTACAAAGCAAATTCCAGTCGCATTTTTATTAATCCATTTCCTAAATTAGCCTTTGATTATGTTCCGGCCCACATTCTAATAGATTACAAAAAATTTCCCCGAGGGTAAACTTGCTTGCCGACCCTTGTTGTAGAGTAAGGCAGCACTTTTGCTAATCATTTTGAAGAACCCAAAATACGTCAAAACACTGCTTGTTGAATGCTTCTGTGTCATGATTATTATCCAACCTGCCAGTTTAGCATTTTCCTCCATTTGTGTTTATCAGCTTAGTTTACTGGTTAATAGGGCATGCAATAGGTCAATCTGAAGGCAAACTACTTCGAGTGGTCTCATTCACTTAGAGTCTGTAAATCTTGAATTCAAACAGATCATTACAGTTTGAATATTTAATTTTTTTCCCCAAGTTTGAATGAATGTCCGAATGTGAATAAAAAGTGCCTAGCACAGGCTTAGCACCCTGGCACACACACACACTGTTCATTTGTCATGATTGCACAGTGGCACTGGTAGTCAGTTTTATTGGAGTTGTTAAATCAGCAGCATGTGTTTGGCTGAGGCTCAAGCCAAGCAAAGCCTGCTGATACCTTGTCCTTATGTGGATGAAGTGTTCTCATATTTGTATCAGTGGAGCAGAGTAGTGGCAGTGGACACATTGGACCTTATTAGTGCCTCCAGCAGGGCATCTATTAATGCAGCAGAACAAAGTAATATACAGATGTAGCCAAAATTATTGGTACCCTTCCACTTAAAAAAAGAAAAAAAACACAATTTTCTCCAAAATCAGTTGAAACTAACAAAGTAATTGGCATCATCATATTTAGTAGAACAGACATGTTGCTTTTGATTGTCAGTGTGACAAATGAAAATAGCATGGAAAAAAATAACCTAATATTTCGTAGCACATTCTTTTAAAGGTCCATATAGTATAAACGTGGATGTCATGTTTTCTTTGATTATAAAGCAGGTCTAGGTTCTATATTAATACTGTGAAAGTATCAAAGCCTCTGTCCACAGAGAAACACAGCCTGTATTCAGAAACTGAGCCTTAAAACCAGCCGTCAGGACTTCTGTAACTTTGTGATGTCACAACAAAGCAGTCACTGCTCTCAGCCATGCCCCAAGC